GTCACGCCTTGACACGTTATTTGGGCGTCAAGCTTAACAAACCCGCATTGGACGTTTTCATAACGGCTACACCACGCCTTGAGGCGCGCCATGGCGCGCTTTTTAGAACCATGGTTCTACTACAAGTGGTTAAGTGGTGTGACACACCCATCACAATATTTAAGGGGCAGCACACATAAATTTTAGAAGTACCATGCTGAAAAAATAATATCATACCAAAAAATTTGTACTGTGACTAAAAATTTGAGGGGTAAAAGACCTACCCGTGATACTAAGGTCCGCCCTTGTGACTAATATGGAGGTGATATTGTACATGTAAAAAAGAATAGATCTTATATTCCATTGAGAACCCATAACCGAGCAATTATAAATGCCAAACTAAGATAGAAACATATTGAGATGTTGTAAAACCAACTAAATCGCTTCCTCTACATGATAAGGTACACTTTGTTTTCCGAACCCACAACATCAAATCAATTCGCTTGGATGAGATTTATGAGTGTCAAAACCTTTACATGATATCATATTCTATTAAGTGTCATGTCATTAACCACAGTAAGATTTATGAGTGTCAAAACCTTTAGTAATAATAATAATTTGTTAAAAGAGTGTATGATAGCATCACAAATAATATAAGAAACAAATATAAAGTGAAATTACTATTTCAAACATAAAGTCTAACAATCTTTTAAATGTCCTTAAGCTCCTCGATCTCTATTGGTTACTAACTTAAACACATATCAAAATAGTAGGTTAGATATGAAAAACCTAATGAGTAGTCCTGGTGTAAACAAAACAAATAAACAAATTTTAATAAAAATTCATAACCCCTTACTTTTTAAAAACTCAAAAAGAAAGAGCATCAAAAAATGACCTAGAAAGGTAATAAAGTTTTAACTTTGTCCACATTAGATCCTTAAGGATTTTTGTGCATATTATATCAATATGGTTGTTATAATCATTTTAAAAAAAAGTAATAAAATTTTAATTTTGTCAATATTAGATCCTTAAAATCCTTTTTTATATATATTATACAAATATGGTTGTTATAAACGTTTAAAAAGGACTAATTGGGTTTTAGTTTTGTCCATATTAGGTCTCTATTTTTAATATTTTTATCGTTTCCTTTAACTCTTTTACACTTCATATTAGTATCTAGGTAGATGTTTTCATCAGTTCATCTTCTTATTTTAATCGATCATTCACCACAACCACATTTTCAATTGAAAGGTTACATAACAATTTTTTTGTCATTTTTACAAAAAAACTAATAATAATGAAAGTCTTAATGATTAAGGTTATGTTTGGCGCGCCACAACTAGCTGATAAGCTAGTTTATTTTTCGATCTTTTTTAAGTTGTTATGTTTGACAAACCAAAAAGTAACTTATAAGCTAATGTTTTAAAAAACTATTTAGACTAGTTTTTTAAAATTTTCAAATATACCCCTTAATTAATTAAGAAAACATATTTTTTAAATGTCATTATATAAATTTCAGACAACTTATAAGCAAGTAGCAGAGCCATGGTCAAAGTAAAAAAGTATCCCCGACTAGTAATGTGGTAGACCCGATTAGTAATGGCTTATCATGGATACCCCATTGTCATAGCTATTACTTATCAGAGATACCCCATTACTTTTCGGGGATACCGTATTACTTATAAGTTATCGCCACTGATTTATAAGTTATCTGAAATTTATATAATGACATAAAAGGGCATTTAAAAAATGTGTTTTCTTAATTAATTAACAGGTATATTTGGAAATTAAAAAAAAAAAAAAAAAAAAAAAAAAAAAAAAAAAAAAAAAAAAAAAACACTTTTAAAAAAGAAGTCTAAGAAGCTTTTAAAAAACTAGCTTATAAGCTATTTTTTGGCTTGTCAAACATGACAACTAAAAAAGATCAAAAAATAAACTAACTTATCAGGTAGCTGTGGCTTGCCAAATATAGCCTTAATCATTAAGACTTTGATTATTTTATTATTATTATTATTATTATTATTTATTTATTTATTTTTGTAAAAATGACAAAAATTGTTATGCAACCTTTCAATTAAAACATTGGTTGTTGTGAATGGGTGACTAAAATGGAAAGTGAAATGATGAAATCATCTAACAAGATACTAATATAAATTGTAAAATAGTTAGATGAAATGATAAAAATATTAAAATTTGGGACCTAATGTGGACAAAATTAAAACATTATTACCCCTCTTTAAATGGTTATAACAACCATATTGGTGTAATATGTACAAAAAAAGATCTTAGGGACCTAATGTGGACAAAATTAAAACATTATTACCTTTTTCAAACGGTTATAACAACCATGTTGGTGTAATATGTACAAAAAAAACCTTAAGGACCTAATATGAACAAAGTTAAAACTTTATTACCATCCTAGGTTATTAACCCCATCAAAATTTTTTGAATGTATATTGAATTCCATGCATGAGATTTTGGTCTCATTTCATCATTTTGACCTGGTTTGAGTTCTAGACTTACATTAGATATGCATGTCTGTAAAGCTAAGATTTTTATGTTGAAATAGAAGTATGAAAGACTTCTGGAAAGTATGAATGGGTGGATTGAAGGGTTAAGGGCTTAACCCTTTAAGTTGTGAGAGTTCAGTTTTTATGACGTGGCAATTTGCTTGCCACGACGTGGCAACTGGTGTCATTGCGACTGTTTTGCCATGAAGCTACCACGACGTGACAAATGGTGGTCACGACGTGGGTATCGGCTGGGGTTGACTTTATCCATTGATCGTTGACTTTTGACTACTTTGACTTTTGGTCAAACTTTGAGGGGTAATAAGTTATTGTATGAGGTTTAGCTTGTGTTCAGTTTAGGGGGTTCATGTGGTTAATTTTGTCGGACTTTGAGTTGTGGATTTCAACTCTTCATTCAGGTGAGTCTTCTCACTGTATTACCTATGTCATAATGGTGTGCATGCTAGACTAGTCAAGTCTTATTTGTTGATTGTTGTTATATATGTATCTGAGTTGTTGATAACTACAGGACTGTTGATAGTTTGTTGGGTTGCTGATAACCAACATGGTTGTTGTTAACTCGCAGGACCGTCGTAAGCCGTAGAACTGATGATAGTCTCAAAGTTGTCGATAACCCATAACTGTTTATATTGTGGTGTTGTATGTGATATTTAGGACTGCTAATAGTTCTCATGACTATTGATAGTTCCAGGGTTGCTGATAACTCAAAGTTGATTATTATGTTATGTTGTATGTGATATTTTGGGGAACTCACTATTTAAGTTGTGTGCTTACAGTTTTGGATTAAATGTTTTTAATGTGCTTAACGAATTGCGAAGGCGGGACTATAAACACACATCAACAGTTTTATGATTCGAGATTTCGTATTATCTTCCTTATAACTTTGATTTTTAATTATGGTTTATGAACAATTGGTTTGACTTGAATGTAACTTTAATAAAATGAGTTTTTATTCTATTTTAAAAATGAAAATTTTATTCTGAAATTTTTGGACGTTACAAGGGAATAGTCGTAAATAGAGATTTTTTTTACATAACTTCATCATAGTGATCGAATGCCTGGGTGGGCTCTAGTTGACCTTATCGAGCTAACACTAACGGTAAAAAGAGTTTTGTAAATTCGGTTTTCGGCTTCCATATAAAGGATAATCAATCCTAATTAGTAAAGAACAACCCCCTCTATGATTTGTCATCATTTTTTGAGGTCCCAAATCACCTCCAAAGCTCTTCCAAACCCATTTTCTTCCAATATCTTTTGAATCCAAGGCCCTAATCATAAGTCCAACATCTTTCAACCATTAAAGATCATCGTTCCTTTGGATCATCTTCTTCCCCAAGTTCAAGAGTTACATTAATTCATCTTTTCAATGTTCATTCTTTCAAGCTTCCAAGATTATCATGCATCGATCATTAGTTTTTATGTTTTTATGTTGTTAGTTGATTTTACATTGGATATTATGAATTTTATATATTTCATAAGTGAGATGGAGGTTCCAACTCCTTGAAATTACTTTTGGACATGTAGGTTGTTAGGATGACTATTTTGATTAATGTTGTTATTCCAAGCAATTTCAATTATTGTTTTGTTCTTAAAGTAATCATTCATTAACAATAGATGGCGACGAGTTTCAATTATGTATTTGCTACAAGTCCACAACTAAGATATTGTTAATTCACTAGTGGTTTCAAGTTCAATTAGATAAAGAATTAAGATGATTGGTTGAATCAACATACACTATTCTAAACTTGTAGTATCAAGCGTTTAATATTGTAATAGACTAATCGGTAATAATAACTCGTAAGACATAATATTGCCAAACCACTCGTTCCTTATCCAAGTAGATGTATAGAGTAAGACAATTAGCCAGCTCCTACAGCATGCCCCAAAATTATATATTACGTGTTAATTAATTTTAATTATGTCTATGTAATTAAATTGGAATTCAAGGTATATAAATATAGGAATCCAAATCATCCGAACAACTAAACCAGTAGTAATCTTTTTTTAATAATTCATGCAACATAAAATTCTCGGTTTTTTAATCAATTTTTAGTTTAAATCTATTTCGCAATAACAACAATTATTAGTTTTTCACTGATTATTTCAACACAAAGTTTGAACACAAACTCCATACGGATCCAACCTGACTTACCTCAGCTACCTAAGGCATGGTTGGCTATTTTTAATCGTATCGACAATAGTAATCATTTGTTGATGTTGTTTTGTTTAAGGATTTAGGGAAATTGTTGACATAGAGAAGAAATAACCTCTTTTTACACAGAAAAAGTTATTAGAAAGTTATATGGATTCAAGTCGCTAATAGGTTGACTCTTTTATCTTATTTATTTTCGGGATGTTACAAAGATAATAAGCATACAATATATGTTCTCAATAACAAGTGTTCTTAGATTCTACAAAACTGACAACCGATTTCGCGAGTAAACTAGCATTTCATCAATCAAAAGCTAGTGAGCAATTAATTTAATCAATTTAGTAACCACCTACACACAAAAAGAAGCGAAACATCAAAAATCAAGAGCACCAGCCTTTGAAGAGGAGCCACAACTAGCAGAAGTACCATAAGAACTCCCACTTGAGCCATCGACAGGCGCTTGATTTAAACACTCTAAAACCAATGATCTTCGTTTTTGCAGCTTTATGGAGTACGTCGTTGCATCTAGAATTACAGGGACCTTCATACACACAAAACCATACATCATGCAAATGTTCAAATAAAAATAGCAAGCAACTTACTTTTTTGGTCCCTGAAAATAGCTGATATTTGCATTTTTGGTCCTTAAAAGTTTTCTCTTGCAACTTCAGTCCTCTTTTGAGATTCTAGTAACATTTTCGGTCCCTTTTCAACTAAATGACTATTTTTGACCCTTGAATATAGCTGACTTTTGCAATTTTGGTCCTTCAAAGTTTTCTCTTGCAATTTCAGTCCTATTTTGAGATTCTAGTAACATTTTTGTTCCCTTTTCAATTAAAAGACTATTTTTGTCCCTGAAAATAGCTGATTTCTGCAATTTTGGTCCTTAAAAGATTTCTCTTGCAATTTCAGCCCTCTTTTGAGATTCTAGTAACATTTTTGGTCCCTTATAATGACTATTTTTGGCCCCTGACTATAGCTGACTTTTGCAATTTTGGTCCTTACAAGTTTTCTCTTTCAATTTCAGTCCTATTTTGAGATTCTAGTAACATTTTTGTTCCCTTTTTCAATTAAAAGACTATTTTTTATCCCTGAAAATAGCTGATTTTTGCAATTTTGGTCCTCAAAAGTTTTCTCTTGCAATTTCAGTCCTCTTTTGAGATTCTAGTAACATTTTTGGTCCCCTTTTCAATTTAATGACTATTTTTGCCCATGAATATAGCTGATTTTTGCAATTTTGGTCCCAAAAATATAGTCACTTTCTTAAAACAAGGACCCAAAAACCTCAAGGACCAAGATTGCAAGACCCAAAATTGCAACAATCAGCTATACTCAGGGACCAAAAATGCAATTTATTCTATATTAATTAATAAAAGAAACAACCGTGTTATTTTGTACCTGTGTGTTGAAACGTGAAACTTTATGTATACTTAGAAGTCCAAGCATATCCTGGTAACCAGTTAGGAGAGTTGCAAGCTCCTTGTCCTCATCTATTTGAGTTTTATTTGTTAAATTATGCTACAAAAAAGAAATTTATACCAAAAAAAAAACAAAACAATATTTTTTATACCTGGAATTGCTTTAACGGATAATAAAGCATCAGCCAAATGTTGCAATCTTTTTGACATTGATGGTGATAAAAGAGAAGGTGGGAAGGTTAGAAAAGCAACTGTATTTGAGGAGCGAACCATGCTTTTTAATGATCTAATGAAGGAAAGCATATCCCATTCCTACAACATCATTAAGATGATATATAGTCAAAACAAAAGTGCATCATGTCTACATTTAAGCTATTGCAATGTAGTGTTTGATGAGACCATTAAAATAGCTTATAAGTTAGCTTTTTAAAAAGCTATCTGAGATAGCTTATTGACAAAACTTGTGGGTTGTTTCTTATCAGGCAAAAGCTAGCTTTTCAGCTAGTCTGCCAAACACAAACACAGACTTATCCAATATGTGGTTTACTTACCTTGTCATAGTAGTCACATTGTGGAGCACAAAATGATTGGATAGCAATTCTTCCTGCACTTGTGATATTTCCATCATACCTAATTAGAATTATGAAAATTAGGTGTAAGAGTCAATGAAGAAGACCACTTTTAAATTTAATAAATTCAATCCACTACTAATAATAACATCAGTACTTTGGAAATTGAGATATGAACTTTGAACAACTATCACGGAATCCAGCAAGATTTGAACAATCCAAAAGGCTAAAACACTCCACACGGTTTCCCATTATCAAATGCTTCTCTATAGGCTTCCTTAGGTCAAATTCATTGCAATACTCTATTTTCCCATCTGCATCACATTATCACAACACAAAAGATGTTTACTTTTTATACTAAAAATTCCAACAACGAATAAAAAGATACAAATTTACCTCGCTCCTCGTTATGTTGCTTATTTTCCCCAAGGTACTTCTTATATTGCCAAGCAATCCGCAAATCCTTCTACAGGCTCATAAAAAAGGAAAATTTTACATAATACAGTTGTAGTTGTGAAGAGGAAGATGCATGCTCCTAAGGGCAATATGGGAAGTAGTACCTGTTCTGCATCAGTGTTACGAGATTTGTCATCTTTGGGGATTAAAGTAGTTGGCAAGGTTCCAAGAAAGGCTCTAGGGTTTTTGACTGGGCTTGCATAAAGAACAGGTTGGTTGTGTACTAGTCCCTGAGACATGAAAGTCCTTAACAAAAGCATATGATGAGGTGCTTCAGTGTCTTCCATGATCATTACCAGACTTCCTAAATGGAATCCACCACCTAAAATCTCTAGATATTACAGAAACAATTCATCCATTAGGAAATTGTTGTCATATCTGTTTAGATGCTTTAATAAAATATAATAAGGGGGTATTGGGATTTTACTATCAAGATCTGGTATGCCTGATGAAAGAAAGATTGTTCCATTTGGTCCATACTTGAGTCCAGGGACAGAAGAGGTAGGTGCAGCTGAAAAGTTCTTTGAGAAACTACTTGTCCGGACTTTGCCAGTAGCCATAAATGTCAGACAGGTTTTTAATCCTCCTGAGAAATAAGAACAAATGGATCAAACAGGTAAACAGGTCTAGAGAGCATTTGGAGTAAATGATTTTATCAATAATCGTATACAATGTTTGTAGAATACTTGAACAACATCAATTCTGGAAGGAAACTACCAAAGCAGATATGCAATCTATTCCACATCGCTCACTAATGTAAACTAGAAGTTCTCCGAATAGGATTTGAAGAAAATTAATTTAGAACTCTCTGAAACATAGTTCGCGTGAACACAAATTCCTCAATTTTGATCAAAATTTTCGGTTACAAAATCACAATTACATTAAGCATAAGTACCTCATTAACACGATAATTAAGTAATTATACTAAACAATTCAAAAAGTGAGAGTAGTTTCAATACGCTGTTAGAGGCGGAGGAGAACCTGGATTCAAGGGACCAGAAGTTGGAAAGATGCACTGAGTGAATTCCAAAGAAGAAGCTGATGTGAGAATGAAGCAGAACACCTGTTGACGCAAGTGTCTGTGTGCGAGAGTCGAGAGTCGATGACGCGAGAAAAGGAATTTGAGAGTCGAGACTTCGAGATGAGAAGAAGGATAATCGGAGGCTGGAGATGCGGCTGCGGACTGCGGCGGCCGGCGAGGACGAGTTGACGTTTGAGGGAAAGAAAAGAGACAGAGGAGTAACTGCGGTGTGAAGGTAGAAGCAAGTATGAAAAGACACGACGTCGTATTGCAAGTTTTAAAAATAAGCAACCCGGTTTTTTGATTCCTGGTTCCGGTTCGATAATCTGAAGTCCAAAGCTAATTTTAAATTAGGCTAACATTGCAACTTTGAAACTAGATCATTGTAGCCCAAATCCAACTTGATTGGGCTAAGCGTATAAATCATACCTGAATTGGCTAATTAGAAATTGGATTACCGGTCTATTTTTATTTTTAGGGTTTTATATATATAAAAAAAAAAAAAAAAAAAAGTCCCATCATTCTAGTAAAAATTTTGATAAAATCCTAAAGATTTATTTTAAACACAAAAGTTCTGATTATTTAATATTTTATCCAAATTAACAAAAAGGTCCTTATTTTTATTTTAACATAAAATGACAGACTATTATGTAAAATTAAATAATCCTGATTTTTTTTTTTTTAAATAATTTAAGACTTTATCAAAAAATTTCCCAAAATAGGGAAACTTTCTACATAAAACCCTTATTATTACATAACAATTTCGATGCATACATGAATAAAGTTGATAACAAATTTAAAGTATAATCGCATAAAGTTAGTAGAAGGAAATAACTATATATAATGTTTTTATTTTATTTTATTTTTTACTTTAAAAGCTTAATATATTAAGCATTAAATCTCAACATGTATGAATTTTGTTACATAATGATAAAATGGTCAATTAGTCTCGGTTTATACAATCTAAAAAAGAAATAGACCTTATTGACAACACTTTACATATACATACATCATTACTGGTTTAAATTTTTTACCCATAGATGACTTAATGGTAAAAAAAAACAACCCTTCAAGTGTTTTACACTTAAAGACCAAACCATTTTTTGATTGTTAAACAATGAAACATTGCTCATTCAATTTTCAAGAATTAAGTTGACATTTTGAAGAAAATAGATCAGACAACAGATGCGGATTAAAAATAATAATACATAAATACATGTGATGTGATGTTATAATAAAGAAAAAAATAAAAGTACATTGTTATAATATTATAGACACCACCACATGAACAGTTCATTCAGCTACCCTTGCCATTATAGCACTAATGCTATTTGCTCTTTCCTTAGCTTCATCCACTAGCAAATCCTACAAAACAGATACCAGGGGCAAAACCGGAATTTTAAATACGATCAACACCAGTGTCCTGTGGAAGAATTCTTACTTGTGCATCTATAATACGGTGAATCGCCTTCTTGCTTGACTCCTGAAGTTCACCAGCAATTAAAATCTCATCCAGTATATAATAAGCCTGCAAAGTATCCACAAATTCCACGTCAGCATGGTTGTACTTGTACACATGGCAGATGACATGGATGATGTCATACCTTATGGAAATGGAAGATCAAGTCCAGCTCACAAACCTGACAAACGAATGTTCAAAAACAAAGTTAAACTTCCAAATGACTTTTTAGTCCCTGAATAGAGTACAGCTGCTTTTTGCATTTTTGGTCCCAAAAATGTTACAAAAACCTCAAATAAGGACCAAAAGTGAAAAATACAACAGGACCAAAAATATAATTTAGTATATTTGTTAGGGTTTAAATGGGTTACACTTCCAAAGTAACGATCAAGAGTCTCGACAAAATATTGAATAATTTCAAGGATCTCCAGTTCGTTGTCTTGTTGGTTAATACACATACAAAAGTAGAGGCTGGCATACCTGAGAAAGTGGAATATTGTAATTAATTAGTTACATAGAGAAAAATAAAAATAAAAATAAATAAATAGTACCTCTTGTAAACAACTTTGAATCCCTTCCATTCAACAAAGTTACAAAGCTTGGGTCCTCGTGTTAGAATCATCCCACTAAGCTCTCGTATTACCTTTAAATAACAACGTATTTTCATCTATTAAACTTATTCTTTTGATTCTTATTTACACATGGTAATTCAAAATTTCTAATTTTCAATGTTTTTGTTATTATTTAGAACATACCTTACTTCGTTCTTTCTGGGAATAAGGTGAATACCACTTTGTCAGCCTAACTTTTCCTTGTCGGCTTAATAAGAGAACAAAATGAATCTGCAAGAAAGAAAATAAAATGTTATTATCTGTAGCCATAATTATCTTACTACTTACTAGGTTGTATTACATGGGTTGATTAAAAAATATTAACTAGGAAGTAGTAGACATTAAAGATTTCTAAAAATGAGAGGGTGTTTGTTTCAGCTTTACCTAAATCTGAGACATTTGGGGGATTAGCGGGATTTTATAAATAAAATAGATGACAAATTGACAATGCCACAGTGATGATTAATAAAGAAGTGGAAGGGTAATCTTGATGTATAAATCACCTGATAATGATGTTGTGATACTAGAAATAAGGTGGGCAATTAATGATATTATGGGTATCCTAATCTTTGACATGCGTAATTAGGATCATCATCATTATATATTACTATATATATAACAACTTCTGTTTAGCTAAACATCATATAAAACCAGAATAACATTTGCTCAGCTTGCAAATACCTCTGGTATAACATGATCGATCTAACTCAACCCAAGAATTTGATATATTCAACATTTTAATATATTCAGACAAGTTAATAGATGTATGACATTGATCACTGAAGCCCCAATTCTACAGACTGCTATGTAATGTAACTAGAGATGATAAAAAAAACGGAGCTCTCACCATGCTTAAATACAATTGATAGAAGCTTCACGTCTACTGACCAGATCCGAGCGAATGTACTGAAGGATGTGAAATAAACAACATCATATTATACAAAATCAATCAGGACATGTATACAATCCCTATTCACGGTGATGCTCGATTAGAAATAGGAAAGAGTATTAAAATGTCGCACAATCAGTAAATTTTCCCTTTCAAAATCAGATCAAAATATTCATATGAATGCGAATCGGATTGAAAACAGCAAAGCATGATTACAACTCCAATTTTGATATAATCGACTGATGAGGATCCATATGCAGGGAACACACCTGAAAGTAAAATGAACTGGATCTGCTTTGATCGTCGCCGGTGAAACAAAGAGCACAACTCCGGTCTCCCGGTGAAACCTTTTCGTTTTGTTTGTCACTAGTCCGTTTTTCTATCGCCTACTAGTTTTTTTTTTTTTTTTTTTTTGGATTGGACAGGGTGTTTGGGATTATGTAATTTTTATAAAATTTATTTATGACAAGATAAACGTCTCCCCACAAACTTTAAAAATTAAAAAAACTAAAATAGTGATTGCACTGGGTCACAGCCCAGAAGCCATACAACTTGACTTGAACAACCAACAACCAACTATCCAACCCACGTACGATCTTCTTTCTTTGTGGGGCCCATTTTAGCCTATCAAACAACGTAATAAGTAATAGTAGCACTGCGATTTACAAGAAAATAATGTGTTAATGGAATAGGGTACGAGGTCCAAGAAAGCGTCGTAGGTTCTACTGTTCTTAAACCCTCTCCCTAACTTCTTCCATTGCTCGATTGGTATCAAACAGGTGCATTATATTATTTGTCAACGATGTGTAATTTTAATTCCATCAATTCTAAACGTTAACTCTATATGTATGTGTTTTTATACGTCTATAACTCATGTATCTTATGTCATGTGGAAGTTGTCTTGAATGTTTATCGATCTCTTTTCTGGAAGTGTAGGAATTAAAGGAATGGGGAAGACAAGGAGTATGCTTAGAAAAAAGAAGTATGACGACGCACGTAGGAGGATTATAATTAATGGTGGTGTGGGATCTTGGTCAGATCTTAATCATGATATACTTTTCTTAGTTATGATGAAGCTTGAATTCGTTGATTTCATTGCATAAAGGACTCTCAAGGAAGAAAGATGAAAACCATTGTTCCTCATTCTGCTAAGAGGTCGTGTATTGGAGTAACATTGTTCCTCATTCTGCTAACCATCGCTCACTATATGACGGGAGATATGTTGTTGCAGATAAAAATGGAAAGGGTGGGTGTCTTTATGCAAACATGTGGTATTTCTTCTTTGATTGTTTGAATGTTGATATCATACACGAGTGAAGTGATGAATTGTTAGCATGTTTATCTTTCTTAGTTTCTTTTCATAACAGACACATATCTTAGAACATCATTGTCATGGTTGTTTAAAACCAATATTGTCGTACCAGCATCTTGGAATTTATTCGGGTAGATGCAACTATCAATTATTTTATATCTTATTATATATTCTATCTTATTTTCGTTTATTCCTAATGTATTGAGTGTTGCACATTGGAATGATGTTTAGTTGTGAATGAAGAGCCATTTGTTAGACTTTTGGTTTTCCCACAAAGATAACCATATGAGATATTGTCTTGGAAGAACCCTAGGATTTTGAGGGATATCCGATAGCTTATCAGGAATCAAATCTGGAATGTTAACACATGATTTTGATGACATTATCAAACAAAAGCTTACACCCAAAAAGGAAATTTGGTTCAATCATCCTGCAGAACATAGAACAAGAAGGCAAAAGTGTGAGAACCAATGATCCCTACGTTTTTCTGCCCAATAGTTGCGTCAAGCTGGCTTCTAAGCCTAATGGGTGTGGTGACATCCCATGCCTCCAACTTTTTCTGTTTTTTACTGAGAACTTTGTTTATGAGGTTGGCTGTTAATCAATAGTTCTTATCTTAACAAAGTTCACACATTAATTTGCCCTTTAAATCTTTAATGGAATCTTCAGCGTTTTATTCTTTTGTTTTCCAACAATTCAATGTTTCTATTCTGATTGCAACTCTTGGGGATGACAACTGGATCCAATAAGGTGATCCTTAATCCTTATATTCTTCTAAGCAAATGTATTTGATGATTGATTCTCCAGAAATGTAATTTATCAAACACTATGTAGCAAAGTTTGGTTCAATGGGTTGGGGAAGCATCTATATTAGACGCATGGAAGTTTTCTCATTGACACTTCTTATCTACTTAGAGTCTTAGACTATAAGGTAGTAAGTACTAACTATATCATTGATTGTTAAATGTTAATGCTTCTTCACATAGAACCATTGGCAAAAATGTTATGAGTGGTAGTGTTGGAAGCATTTTGGTTGGTTTAAGAGTTGTTTGAAGCCATTTTGAGAGAATTTGAGAGAGAGGTGTGAGAAATGATAGTAATATTTAAGGTGCTTAAATGGGTAGAAGGCATAAAATTACATGATTGGTCATGTGGTTTGCCAAATCAAGCTACAATTATAAAGAAATCTATGCACTTGGTCTATATGGTTTCATTTTTTGTGTGATTGGTTCTTTAACCGGTAAGTTGTCCATACTACCTTGTTTAATTTAATTTAGACTTTTTTTTTATATTTAAAGTAATAAAAGCAATTTAAAAATTAAACTTAAACCCCACCCCACCCCTCCATACCCTAACCCTCACCCCTGTCCTACCCAAATCCTGTTTCCTTAGGATGAGCAAAACCGACCCAATGGTTTTAAAACCGAAATAAGCCGACCGTGTATACATATTATTAATCATTTAATATATTTTTAATGAATGTTATATGTTTTATTAAAACAATAAATATGGAAAAGTTTCAAACCCCTGACCCCGTTGTTCACTAATGCTCCTATCATCACTCTTTCGAAGCAAAGCAAAGCACGACTGCATCCGGAGGAAAAGGAAGATAAAGGCTCTCTTCTCTCGTTTACATACTCTTGAGTCTCGAAGCAAAGAAGACAATAATGCACTGAATTTGCTTCATTTTACTTAGAATTGTTGGAAAATAGCTTAAAACCCAAAACCATCAACCCATGGGTTGAACCTGAAAAACGAACCACGAAACCGAAAACCGAACCCAGTGAGTTTTAAAACCCAAAACTTGTCGGTTTGGGTTCGGTTTTACCCCATAACCGACCTATGTTTAGTCCTACTACTTTCATTCCTTGCATCCCATTTTGCATCAAGTGAAGACTATTATATGGCCCCCTTCCATCATCATCAATGTTGAAGACAAAAACCACCATCTACCCCTCACTACCGACTTGAAGGCGTTGAAGGCAAACACCACCAACCATTGCTCACCTTCGCCTTCTCCCCTCAACAGGCACCACTAGATGATCGTCGGTAAAACATCAAGGATGAAATATGGAAAACAACGTCAGAATGGTCTGCCACTTAAAACCCCACATCTTTCTCTCCCTCCTTCTCTCTTCTCTAACCTAACTAACGGACATCGTTAACAAAGATCATTTTATGTATGGGTGTTCATCCTTAGAAACCGAACTCTAAAACCCTTATCTTTCTTAGGATGGGTTAATTGAACTCTAAAACCCTTCAAATCATTCATCGAAGGTGGTAGTGGCTAGTGGTTGGATATTTGTAGGGTCTTCATTTGGATGGATCGTTTTGATTCGATCCAATTAGGTAAATCCAAATTAATTTCGGTTTTCATAATATTGATACAAATAGTTCAAACTAAATTTAAATCCGATCCAATCAAATTCAATTATAATTCAGTTAGATCGGTTTTATAATTCGGTTTTCAAAATCTAGAACATTTTAAAATGATATATAATTATGATATTATCTGATTTTTACAGAAGAAGCAAAAAAATTATTTAGTTGTGATTTAAAATTTATAAACAACTACTAAGAATGTATATTATAGTTTAATATTTAATAGATAAAAAAAACTTTTGAGAGAAAATACATATTAATGTTTTTATTAGATGAAACTTTTTGAATTTATTTGTAAAAATGAATTATAAAACTAATAAATAATTATAGATATATGAAAATAAATAAATAATAAATTGTTATTCGGTTTTTTGGACTATTTCGTTCTTATTTTATAAATTAAAACCAATTCGAAATCCAAATTAATAATTCGGTTTTGGTGAAAATCAATCCAAATATTCAAACCAAATAGTCCAATCCAAATTGTCTAATTGGACATTTAGGTTTTATCCAAATAGTGAACAACCCTAGTTATTTGAGCAACAAATCCACGTAGTGGTCGTGGTAGCTGGAGATGGTGGGGGCGGTAGGGTGGAGATGGTGGCAACACGGTGGCTAAAGAGATGAATGAGTTTTAGGGTTAGATCAGCCAAGGATAAATATTATGGTTAATTTGTTCTATTATAATTTTTATGTACTTATTTTAGGAATAACATTTAGGTTTCATAACACCTTTAGTCCAACTATTTGCATTGTTGCAACATTGATCCCTATTTCAAACTATAGCAATGTTAGTCCCTTTGACTAACGCTCATTAGTTTGATCAACATGTCCTCCTTCATAGACAACAATATTGTGGCATTTGTCAGCATCTTTCACAACCTATACTCTTTATACTCCTTCAAAGGCCACAAAGGCAAAGAAATTGTCAACCTTTTCATCAATATGTACTTAATCTTCATCCAATAGGCCATCATTAAGGTAGTTTTCAGTCTAGTACTTTGTACTCATAGGAAATGTCATGTTTTGTGTAAGCTTTAATTTCCTTGTATGTAACATAGTGAAACATAAAAATGATTTATTCATCGTCCCCTAGGGTTATTAGGCCATTGCCCGTATCAATTATGGGCATCAAGAAATGGTGACAAATGATGACAACTTCATCATACTTTAGTTTCCTTATCATGGTATAAACATCTAACAAGGTAAAATCATACATGTCAATCACATCGAAGCAGTCAACTTCACTATTAATGAACATTCTTCTAAGGGTGAAGAACCCACATAATGCATCTTTATCATGAAGATGTTGGCATAACCTGGTTTAGGGAATAATAGAAATCCATACCTAATAAATGACAATCAAAGTAAACAACATACAATGAAAAGTTAAGAACTATGAATCAAAAGGAAACAACATAGAATCAATGTTTAGAACCGAAACCTTATAAAATCATAGCCTAAGAACTAACAAGCAAATGAGAAGAACATAATACATCACATATATTTGACATCAACATGATAGCATTTACTTCTTATACTCTGACATTTTGCATACATTGTCTACTTGATTTAACTCAATTATCGTTTAGGGTTCAATGGTGACAAATGATCGAGTGTTGATGTACTCACGACGGTAGAAGAAATAGAGACCATTGGCGAAAGTACCAAAATACTATCATGTGCATGGCACATGAGGGTTCTTGATGAAAGAAATGTAACACCGTAAATTTCAAGACAAATTTTTCATTTAAAATAATCATTTTACTTT